TTCCGACATGCCAGGCGTAGCCCCTCCTCTGGGCCTCTGTAGTTCCCCTGCCTAGCTCCCCTTTTTCTCTCCCAGACCTGCATCTGGTCACCTCTCCATCCTCAGCCTGAACATCACCTCTTCCCAGAGCCTTCCCTGACCACCCCAGGACAGGCCATTCCCAGTTCCATCTTGGCGCCCCTATGCTGGCTGTTTGGGGGAGTTCTTGTCTGCAGGTGGCCTGAACTGGCTTCGAGTCCACCCCTGGGGCCACCGTCAGAGGAGGCTGGAAACAGGCTTTGTGAATTTGCAGGACGATGTGAAAGTCAATGCCAGTGGTGGTCCCCCGGTGCCCTGGCCCATTTCACTTGGCATTTGAGAACACAGAGGTCCCAGGGCCCTGGCAGGTCACGGGGTCCAATGTGCAGCCACCTGACCCTGAAATCTCAGGCCCTTTCCCCATAGTGGGTCCCATAGGTGACCAAAAGCAGAAAACAGACAAAGATAATATGACTATACCCCTGCCTCTCCTCAGTCTCCTTTCCCTCCCTGCCCTACGTCAGCTCACCCTCAAGAGGGTCCTTCGTCAGGCCCAGCTGCCCAATGATGTACTGCGGCAGGTCCGTCTTGATGCCCTGGCCCTCTCGAGCCTGGCCCTCGGCGGCCTCCAGCAGGTGGTAGAACTCTTCAGGGTCAAACTCCTGGGGGTGCAGAGCTCTGGTCAGCCCAGGCTTGGTCTCTCCTCCAGGCCCTTGCAAATGCTGTTTCCTCCGACCTGTGGGTCCAACTATCCCCAGGGTCCCCTCCTACAGGAAGCCCACCCCAGGCTGGCAGCCTCTCCGGGTCCTACTCAGTGAGAACTGCGTCTGGTCTCCTGGGGACCTAGTCTGAGCTCTGCTCGACCTCTGCGCTGAGACTCACAAGGCACTCGAGGAGCCTTGCTGGCCGCGAGATGATGATCAGCAGCTTCCGGACCAGCTGGACCACGAAGCCGACCTCCTCACTGTCTGAGCGCTCGTGGGCCTGGAGGCGGGTAGGCGGGACATCACTCAGAGGCCCTGGTCCCTGTCCTGCCCCGCCCGGGGACCCCCAGCCCCCAGCCCCCCACACACATCCTGCAGCAGCCTCTCCAGCTTCTCTTGCATCTCCAGGAAGTAGCGGGAGGTGACCAGGGCCTCTCCAGACTTGGCCAGGCAGTCACGGGCCAGCTCCACAATCTGGTGGTGGATGAAGCCCAGGACGCCATCGGCCAGGGCCAGCTGGGCACCGGGCGAGTAGGCAGTGAGGAACTCCTGCAGACGGCCCTCCATCTGGGCCGTGGCCTGGCGGGGGGAGACGGGTGACCTGGTCATCGGACGGGACTGGGGAACAGCACATGCAGGTGGAGGGCAGGAGCGACAGTGTGGAGAGAGAGGTGACCGTGAAGCCGATGGGGTCAGAGGACTGGGGGAACATTTGAGACCCGGAGGGAGAAACAGAAATGGACAGATGTGGAGACACAGCCAGGACAGAGCCTGCCTGTCTGTCACCGAGGGGCAGCGACATGGAGGGGGGTTGGGGCCCACCCAGCCACAGGCACTGCCCACCTTTGGGAACCTCTCCCGGTACACGTGATTCATCATGACGATCTCATTGTCGAAGGTTCCTGTTGTGCGTCCAGGGCTGAAGGGGGGTGATGATCAGCTTGTGATATAGGACCTGAGGCCCAGCCCAGGGGAAGGGGGCTGAGCCAGGCTCGGACAGGGTCAAGGCCAGAAGCGGGGAGGAGCCATGTTTTCATCCAAAGCCAGCCCAGGGAGATGCCAGGGCATGGGCTAGAGGTCAAAGCCCACCTGAGGCTACGGGAGCGGGGTCGAAGGCGGGGCGAGCGGTGGCCACCCTCCTCATCAGCCACACTCTCCGAGCTGCGGAAATGCTTGGACAGGAAACGCAGTTCGTCTGGCGTCGGCTGGAAAGGAAGCTGGTGGAGATGCTCCCGGGAGGATGAGCTCGACTGGTAGGAGGGGGTCAGAGTCACGGGTTGATGGTCAGCACCACAGCCAGGACCCCAGCACTACCCCCGCCCCCAAGGCCCAGAATGCCTGGCTCCTATCCCTTAATACCCCACGTTGATGCCCCCTCCTCCAAGAAGTCCTCTCTGCCTGTTCCCCATGGCAGCGCCAAGATCCCCTCTGGCCAGGCCCTGTGATAACCTGTGTAGCCTAGGGGAGCTCCTGGGCTAAGGCTGGGTTCTCTAGGGTCCCCCACATCGCCTGGAACACAGCACAGAGGCAGCGGCCAGGAATCTGCTGACTGCACAGCTATCTGACCCCTTGAAAAACACAAAGACACGTCCCCGCAACCCTGCACCCGCCCGTCTGCCCGCCAAGGTGGGGCTGTAGGTACCGAGACCGTGGAGCTGGGTGTGTTGGTTCCATAGCCGGAAGACGGGAGGGACGCGAGGGACCATCTCCTGCCATCGGCCCTGGAAAGGAGAACCAGGATTGGAAGGAAGACAGGGCCCCTGTGGTTTGTGGCTGCCAGATTCTGGCCCCACTGAGGACGGACTCCGTACGGCCGAGAACAGCACGTCAGGGCGGGCAAGTCCTCTGTTTCTTCCTCGTCCTTTAGGCCTCTCCTCCAGGAGTCCTCCCTGACTCCAGCAGCAGGTGCCCGGCCCCCGCCCCCCGCAAAGCTGCCACCCCTCGGAGTTGCACCTGCTGGGGACATGCTGGCTGCCTCCGCCAGACTGAGGACTCCCCAAAGACCAAAGGCCAGCCCCCGGTTCCTCAGCCTCCCAGCGGGCACTCAATAAACGCTGAATGAATAAGTGACGTGTAAAAGCCCAGCACACATGCCCTGGCTGGGGTAGCTCAGTGTGTTAGAGCGTCGCACCAATCGCCAAGATTACGGTTCAATCCCTAATCAGGGCGCACATCCAAGAAGCAAGCCATGAATGCATAAATAAGTGGAACAAGTTGATGTTTCTCTCCCCCGCCCCTCTAAAATCAATCAGTAAATTAAAAAATAAAATAAATGCCTGGCATGTAACAGATCCTCCATGAACTCTTGTTAAACTCCTATTAAATGAGTAAATTGCTTTCAGTGAATTAGTATTTCTTAGACCTGGTGGCGTCCCCTCTCACCCCCACCCCTAGAGCTCGTTGACATTACCTGTCCGTCCGAGAGATGTGGCTGCAGAAGACCGAGGCAGGGGCGGAAACCAGAGGGAGGGACCAACACCGGGCAGGGCCGGGGAGGGGAAAAGGCCAGTGAGGAGGCAGGTCCATCCAGCAAACACACCCTGCCTGTCCCCTCGGCCGTCACGAGGACACCCTCCCCCCAAGCCAGGGACCACTCACCTCCGGGCAAAGGGGAAGTTGACAGCTGACACAGCCGAGAAGTTCCGGGGACTGTCCAGGGGGCTGTTGCCTGCTGATCAGGAGGCCAGGGGAAACTGAGTCATCAGGGGCGGAGAGAGGACACAGCACCCACCCACCTGCTCCCGTGCTCACCGGTTGGGACTGACAATGGTGACAGAGGCCTGGAAAGGGTTGGTGAGGGTGTTCCTACCACGAGGCTCTTACGGTTCCCGCTGCGGCAGCTGTAGGGGCAGGTGGGGGTAGGGTTAGGCGTTGGCCCAGGCTGAGCACACGTGCAGCTGGTTTGGGGGCAGGACAGGAAACTGGGCACGACCACTCCCGCTCCGCCCTTAACTGGACTCCCCCATGGCCCAGTGGGATCATATTTTCCAAATATTATTTTTATTAAGTCTGCTATTACTGTTATTATCAGTGGTGGCATGAAGCACTTCCGGCCTCCTGGTGGTCACTGCACACAGCCAGGAGCAGCTGGCCTGACTTTGCAGGCTTCGGTGTTCACACTCCCACCCCCACACCGTTCCCATGCTGTGGCCACTGCCAGGAGCTCTGGGAAATGAGGCAGAGGGTGGAGAGGGCCCTGGAGCCCACAGGTGGGTTAAGGCAGGCCCCCACCCCACTCCATGCACTTTTCCCCAGAGCCACTGCCCCATCTCTTGACAACACTCCTCCCCCATCATGCCCGCGCCCCCCAAAAATGCCAGCTTGACCCTTAAAAACCCTGAAGTCCCTGGGCCGCCGTGGCTCAGTGGCTGAGTACCCATCTATGAACGAGGAGGTTATGGTTTGATTCCCGGCCAGGGCACATGCCCAGGATGCACATGCCAATGTGGGGCGTGCAGGAGGCAGCCGATCAATGATTCTCTCTCATCATCGATGTTTCTATCTTTCTCTCCCTCTCTCTTCCTCTCTGAAATCAATAAAAAATATTTAAAACAAAACAAAACAAAACAAAAACCTAGAGTCAGGATCTTGTGCAGTTGTGCCCTGTCTTCTGTTCCGCCAACACATTGCATTGCTTGCCTTCCTTCCTTCCTTCCTTCCTTCCTTCCTTCCTTCCTCCCTCCCTCCCTCCCTCCCTCCCTCCCAGCTCCTCTGGCCACCAGCCCCCGGCTCAGCCTGAGCCGACCTGTACCTTGTGCCCTGCCCCAGTGCCCACCCTGACAGAGGGAAGTTGGGAACGACATTGTCTCCAGCCACCCCCCCA